TATATATTTTGTTATGTCATTTAAAGGGTCGTCCTTTAAATTGTATGTAAGTAGCTGTGGCTGTACGCACTTTGTGGATTGTTAACACTCGCAAGTCCTGGGCTCCTGTACATACCTCCAGTTCCAGAAGGAATTCTATTATGTTTTTAGCATGGTAATTTATGTATTGTATGTCTGAGTAGGAACTTAAAAGTGAAAAATAAATAAATAAAGATTGCTAAATTACCAGAAACCAAGATTGTAAAATAAATGTTTTCATGGCAAAAAAAAAAAAAAATTCCTGGCTTGATTTGTATTTTTCTTTCTTTCTTTCTTTGCTACAATCTTTGCTGTTTCCAGCCAAAATGGATTTAACTGAAGTGGAAATCCATAAGCGATAGCCGGATTTGAAGTCACAACGGCACTTTAAAAAGTCATGTCACGGTTCCGATAGATGAGACCGGTAAAAATAAGAAATCCGAGGCAATTGCTTTCCTCAAAGAATGCATTTAATGCCTACATAGTATCGGCAGGAACAAAGGTGAAACCAAGATTGAAAATTCTCCCCCCAAGGTTACAAAGTAACATGTTGAACTCCCCACCCCTGCAGTGTGTCATAAATCACAATCCCCAATTAAGTACTTTGGCGGGCTTTCTAACGGTAGCTTCAGCCCTGCCAAAACTTAGGTAACTTGACCTTGGTTCCCACAGAACAATTTATGGTTATGTCTAAACTAAGGGAATACATCTTCCCCCCTCCCATTACTGTGGCAACCGAAAACGAAGTGAAGATGGCTGCAGCCAAATTCGTTTGAAGGTTGACAAAGTGACTTATGACCAGTTTTCACACTTACGACCATTGTGGCAATCTGATCAAAACTCAGACACTGGCAACTGGCTCGTATTTATGATGGTCACAGGGTCCCGGGGTCATGTCATCACCTTTTGCGGCCTTTCGACAAGCAAAGTCAATGGGGAAGCCAGACTCACTTAACAATTGTGTTACTAACTTAACAACTGCGGCAAGAATCGTCATGAAATGGGGCATACTTCACTCCACAACTGTTGTTGTTGTTAGTTGCAAAGTCGTGTCCGACCCATCGCGACCCCATGGACAACGTTCCTCCAGGTCTTCCTGTCCTCTACCATCTTCTGGAGTCCATTGAAGCTCACACCTCCTGCTTCAGTGACTCCATCCAGCCACCTCATTCTCTGTCGTCCCCTTCTCTTGCCCTCCATCTTTCCCAGCATCAGGCTCTTCTCCAGGGAGTCCTTCCTTCTCATTAGGTGGCCAAAGTACTTGAGTTTCCACTTCAGGATCTGGCCTTCTAAAGAACAGTCGGGGTTGATATCCTCCAGTACTGACAAGTTTGATCGCCTTGCAGTCTAGGGGACTCGCAGGAGTCTTCTCCAGCAACGTAGTTCAAAGGCCTCAATTCTTTGGTGCTCAGCCTTTCTTACGGTCCAACTTTCCCAGCCATACATTGCAACTGGGAAAACCATGGCCTTGACTATACGCACTTTTTTTGGCAGGGTGATGTCTCTGCTTTTTAGTATGCTGTCTAGATTTGCCATAGCTTTCCTCCCCAGGAGCAAGCGTCTTTTAATCTCTTGGCTGCAGTCCCCATCTGCGGTGGTCTTGGAGCCCAGGAAGATAAAATCTGTCACTACCTCCATTTCTTCCCCATCTATTTGCCAGAAATGTTGGACTCAGTTGTGGTCATAAGTTGAGGACTCCCTGTACTGGCTGAGGAATTCTGGGAATCGAAGTCCTCTCAAAGTTGCTGAGTCGCGCTTGAGTTAAAATGAAACAAAAGCAATTCAATTAAAGGGAAAAGAGGCAAACTATAGGACACAAGGGGAAAGTTTGCGCCGTATGGCTCAGCTCCTTCCGTCCCTGGGGATAAAAGTGGAATTAACTTAAATTTCTCTCCAAAAAGAAAGCCCAAAAGCAGCCACTCCAAATTCCTTGCCCCCTCTCCCCTCAATTTGCAAATTCAGCCTTGGATTAAGAAATATACAGTCGTGGCCAAAATTGTGGAAACCTTTTGGAAAAAGCGTACAGTAGAAATGCCACCTTTGGTTAAGTTTCCACCCATTTTTCTTCTAATTTCTTTACAGCTGTAGCCTTGTTCACTTAATAATACTATTTTACTTCGCTTTCTGGGCGACCAGTCAACTCTTTGCACCATGACTTTAATTTTATTACGTTTTGCAAACTCACTAAATGAAAGAACACAAAAAAAACCCCAACCAACTTGATAGCCATCACATAACACACTGACAAATGTCCTCATCTCAGCTTCAATACAGGACATCAATAACTGAATCCTACTGTGATTTGATTGGCTCATGGCCAAAACAAGATGACACCTGATTGGCTCTCTAAACACTCAGCTCATTGGCTACAATCAGATGAAGGGAAGCTACCTGATATAAACCTGAGCAAGTTGTGCTTCCTTTTTCTGGTTATTTGGTTATAACTTTTCATAGAATACAGTACAGATAATTGAACAATCTTTATTGCATTACAATTCAGGGATGTCAAAACTCAATTTCATTGAGGGCCGCATCAGCGTTGCGGTTGCCCTTGGGGGTGTGTGGCCAGGGTGGGTGCAACCTACTGGGTGGGCGTGGATGGAGTGGGTGTGGCCTACTGGGTGGGCATGACCAGCTCTACATCGTTTGCGTCAAGGGTGCCTGTGGGGGCCTGGGCAGGAGTGGGACAGATCTGAGGGTCTCTGGCAGAAGGGGTGGGACTGGGGCAAGCGCCAAAGCATGGTCCATTTCTTCACTCCTCACAAAGGGTGACACCTCCCCAGCATGCACCCAGGGGGCGGGGCCAACACGGCAGGGGCTGGTTCCTCGCTGTTTCCGGAGGGCCTTGTGGAGCTAAGACCGAATGCGTTTCAGCACAGATGGCCACCACAAAATTGTACATTGGCTCCCGGCCGGCCTGGGCCAGGGCCAAGGCAGAGGGGGCCGTTCCCTCAGGATGGCTTCGCGGGCCACATGAAACCACTTCGCGGGCCGCATCCGGGCCTTGTGTTTGACATGTCTGCATTACATTCTTGATTATCTTTCCATTGATATATAATGTTATGGTACTACTCCCCCCAAAAAGTGGTGTTATTAGCCATCAAACCTCAAAAATACACTTTTCCCAAAAGGTTTCCACAATTTTGGCCATTACTGTAGTTAATTCTTGCAACCCGCAATTCGTGCACGTCAGCAAAACTCTCCCCTCTCCTGGGTTGCAAATCTTATCTGTGTGACACATTTTGCTCCCCTGTTGCTCTGCTCCTTTGAAAACCTCCTCTTGGGGGGTCATGCCAGTTACAAGTGGGGTCCTCACGTGCTAAGCCGGTATTTTTAAACCACGGTTTGATACTTTAAGATGCAATTGCAATTAGACAAAGCCATCACTCGCAATTTGGAGAACATAATGGTACTAAACTAACAAAAGCCATAGGGCCGAGCGTGCTGTGTGAATGGACTCGCAACAAAGTTAACACCACGTTGTTTTCTCGAGCTTGTTTACCTCTATCTAGAGAACATGAATTGCAGCCGAAAAGAGTCCCCAGTACAGGTAATCCTCAATTTACAACAGTTCATTTAGTGACCATCCAAAGTTAAAACGGCATTGAAAAAAAGTGACTTATGACCGTTTTTCACGCTGTAGCATCCCCGCGGTCACATGATCAAAATTCAGAGTCTTGACAACTGACTCATATTTATGACGGTTGCTGTGTCCCGGGGTCACCTGATCCCCTTTTGCGACCAAAGACAATGGGAAAGCCAGATTCCTTTGACAACTGTGTTACTAACTTAACAACTGCAGTGATTCACTTAACAACTATGGAAAGGAAAGTCGTAGGATGGGGCAAAATTCACTTAACAAATGTCTCGCTTGACAACATAAATTTTGGGCTCAGTTCTAGTCATAGGTCAAGGACCACCTGTAATCTGATTTAAAAAGAACCGGATTGCATCCATGTACCAGAAAGAATGTCTTAGAATACAGAATAACAGAGTTGGAAGGGACTTAGAGGTCATCTAGTCCAACCCCCTGCTCAGGCAGGAAACCCTATACCCGTGGTGGCGAACTTGTGGCACACATGCCACAGGTAGCACACAGAGACCTCTCTCCGACGGCGCGCGCGCCGTCGCCCCAGTCCTAGGCCTTCAGCTGGGTTTTATAAAACCTTTTCGCTTTAGGCCTTCACTGCCCTGTGCCAAAAAAAAGGTTCAATCAATCAATCAATTTCAACTTCTCGCGGGGAAAAAAAAGATCTCGCAAAGTTGGAATTGATTGAACATTTTAGTCCCACCCAGTCTGCCATTACCACCGCAGCCACGCCCACCCAATGGGCCATGCCCACCTGGCACCCAATGATACATAAGTGGGTTTTGGGTTGCAGTTTGGGCACTAAAAGGTTCGCCATCACTGCCCTATACCATTTCAGACAAATGCTTGTCCAATCTCTTCTTAAAAACTTCCAGTGTTGGAGCATTCACCGCTTCTGGAGGCAGGTTGTTCCACTGGTTAATTGTTCTAACTGTCAGGAAGTTTCTCCTTAGTTCTAGGTCGCTTCTCTCCTTGATTAGTTTCCATCCGTTGCTTCTTGTCCTGCCTTCAGGTGCTTTGGAGAATAATTTGACCCTCTCTTCTTTGGGGCAACCCCTGAGATATTGGAACGCTGCTATCATGTCAGCCCTAGTGCTAGTCTTTTCTGGCTTCCTTCCAAAAATTTTCCAGCCACAATCTCCAGGACTGTAGATTTGAAGGGCATCAAAGATTTTAATCCTGGCTTCCACCTTTGAGACGCCAACTTTTGCATTTGAGCTGAAGTGGCCCTTTAAGACCGAGTCGAAACTTAAACCACTGGTGGGGGGCATCAGAGTCACTGCAGTTATATTTCTGGAGCCTTCAAGTAGCATGTGAGAGTCCCCTGGGGAAACAAAGCAGTCAGATGTTTCTGGGCTTCTCCAGCTTTCTCCCACCACAGTGTCCTGCAAGGAGGACACACACAAGGAGCTGCACCTTCACAAACGGCCGCCTTGAACCCTTGTCATGTCGAAGCACCTGGAATACACCTCCTACCCAAGAGACAGTCCCACGATGGAGAACTTGGAGAGGCAACTCATCTGCCCCATTTGCCTGGAGATGTTCACCAAACCCGTGGTCATCCTCCCTTGCCAGCACAATCTCTGCCGGAAATGTGCCAATGACATTTTTCAGGTGAGTTGTGGGGAAAAAAACTTTCAAAGCAGGTTATGGAAATGTTCCTCCGACATGGAGCAGCTTGACTCTCAAGAGTTGGGAGAGCCGAGTTGGGTCAACCCTTTGGGGAGTTTGGTTAAGATGCCTTCAGAGATTTCAAGGATCACAGCGGATGGGAGAACCAGGCGGATGGGATCGTATCGTCTGTGTTTGTGAGTGGCTGTAATTTGGTGTTTTTCAGAGGGCGAGTACAGTTGTTGTCTTTTTTACAAACGACATGAAGTCTACTTTAGACTTTGAATTTCATGTCTTACTACTTCAAAAAGGCAGGAGACTGAAATCCAGCAGATCAGGAAAGGAAAAAAGGGTTCAGAGATTAAGGCTCGGGTTCCTACATCCAGAGAAACTTTAGTAGAGCAGTGTCACCCAACCTTAGTCATTTTAAGATGTGTGGACTTCAATTCCCAGAATACCTCAGCAGCATTGCTGGCTGAGGTATTCCGGGAGTTGAAGTCCACACATCTTAAAAAAGCTAAAGTTCTGAAACTTTAGAGCAGGGGTGTTAAACTGCCGGGCCGCGGGCCGGACGCATCATCTGGAAGCCGTGCCCACCCCATTGCCGGCAATGGCAAAATCATCCCGATGCGTTGCGCGACGTCACGTGACATCACGAGTTTGACATGTCTGCTTTAAAGGAACTGCAAGGAATGCTGAGTAGGATTCCTTCTGAAAATAAATTACTCTGATTGTCATGGTTCCGACAGATGAAACCCTTCAAAGAACTTTGAGGCATTGTTTACCTTAAAGAATCTTTATTCGAGCAGCATAGCATCGGCACTAACACAATCGAAGACAAAAAACTGAGTTCCTCTCCCCTTAGCACATAGTCTCAAACACAATTCCCTCCTCTAATTAACAGTCATAAATCACATTCTCCAATTACTTTGAAACGCAGGCTTTCCCTCCAGTTCTCCAACCCAGCCATTTCTTATCGTCTCTTATTTCAAAAGCCCTGAGTTTACACACTATTACAATATTATTATGTCTAACTAACTCCCATCACACTGATATTAGAACCCAGTTGGGAAGCAACACGATTGTGTTTTTTTGCATTAAGTTTTGGCAGCTTGAAGGTAAGTGGACAGATGGTCCATACCCCTTCAAAGGTCCAAGGTTGAGATACACTCAACCCCAAGGGCCAAAGTCTACTTATTTGCCATGTTCGATGCTTTAAGAAAACCTATTCTACATTTCCATATTTCTTGGAGCAGAGACAGCCTCCTTTGTGGTAAAAAATACCCACGATGGCAGCCATAATCTTCCTATCCAAGCCCCACCCGTTTTTTAAAAGGGGGCAGGGCTTTCCTGGTTTTGACCACCATCTTGACTTTCTTTAACACACCCTTGACCTGCTTGGAGTAACAGGGACCTGTGTTAGTGAATTTAGATCAGGAAAACCACAACATAGAGTGCCGGTTTGGGCTACTGGTTAAGGCACCAGACTAGAAAGCGGGAGCCTGTGAATTCTAGTTCCCCCTTAAACGTGAAAGCCAGCAGGGTGACTTTGGGCCAATCACCAGGAGATTGTGAGTTCTAACCCCGCCTTAGGCAGGAAAGTAGGCTCGGTGACTTTGAGCCAGTCACCAGGAAACAATGAGTTCTAGTCTTGCCTTAGGCATGAAAGCCGACTGGATGACTTGAGGCCAAATACCAGGAGATTTTCAATTTTAGTCCGGCCTTAGGCAGAAAAGTCAGCTGGGTTGTTTTGGGCTAGTTTCTCTCTCTCTTTCTCTCTCTCTCTCTCTTTCTCTCTCTCTCTCCCTCTCTCTCTCCTTCCTTTTCTCTCGCCTTCTCTCTTTCTCCCTCTCCTCATCTCTTTCCTCCCTGTCTCTCCCCTTTCCCTCTCCCTCCCTCCCTCTCTCCCCGACTCTCTCCTCTCTCTTTTCCTCTCTCCTCCTGTATCTCCCCCTCTTTTTCCCTCTCCCTCCTTTTCCCTTTCCCTCCCTCTCTCCCCATCTCTCCCCCTCTCTTTTTCCCTCTCCCTCCCTCTCCCCGTCTCTCCCCCTCTCTTTCCCTCCCCTCCCCATCTCCCCCTTTTTCCCTCTCCCTCCCTCCCTCCCTCCCCCATCTCTCCCCCTCTCTTTTNTCCCTCTCTCCTGCCTCTCTCTCTCTCAGGCCAGCCCACCTGGCAGGACTTAATTATTTGTTTGTTTATGAGAATTTATGTTGCTGCCCACTTACTCTGAGGGACTCTGGGCTGCTTACCAAATAATAACAACAACAACAACAACAATAACCAACCCAAGATACAAACGGTTGAAACAATAGCCTAACAAAGCCAGGATGCAAATAAATAAATAAACATCTGATTGAGACCTGCCACCAGTCTGGCTTTTTTTCCTTGTGCAATATATACCATCGAGATTTCTTCCAAGAGACATTTGTGGCACCAAGTCCACAATTCCTGAAGGTCGACGAAAGCTTTCGTGCCCAGTCCTTTGTTTTTCCCTTGGGGATGACCGACACCTGCCTTTGCGCTATTGGATATCACGGCTCGGCTCCAGTCGGTCGGTCGGTCGGTCTTCGGCGTTTGGATTCCTTGCAAAAAATAATATGCTCTTTTGCTGGAGCGGATCTAGTTAGGCCCTTGCTAACCCCCTGGAGGGGTGTGCATTGAGCCATTGACCTTTGCGAGGCCTGGGCTGCACAGAAGAGGGACGTCTCTCAAATTCTGGAACTGATGGCTTTGCCCTGGTTTTGAAAGGTGAGACGGGGAGAAATTTGTGGCAGGTTGGAGAAAGCGTTCTACCGTGTTTCCCGAAAGTAAGGCCTACACCAACAATAAGCCCTAGCTTGATTTTGGGGGGTGGGCCTAATATAAGCCCTATCCCAAAAATAAGCCCTAGTTTTGGGGTGAGGCACACATCTAAAAATCAAACTAGGGCGGGGATGGGGGTATGGAGCTGCCCCAACCGCCCTGTACCCGCTTCCCTTGCAGCCAGGCCTCTCCTCGCCGGCCCACTTCTTTTTCTGAGGCCTCTTCTGCAGCCAGGCCTGCATTTCTCATCACGGGGCTTTCCGGAAGGCCTCTGCAGCCAAGAACCGAGCTATGGACTCAATCCGTAGCTCAGTTCTGCAAGATCTCAGCAGCCGAGCACCGAGCTCTGAATTGAATCCATAGCTCAGTACTCGGCTGCTTAGGCCTTCTGGAAAGGCCTGACTGCAAAATGCAGGCCCGTATGCAGCTGCAGACCTTCGACCCCAGAAGAAGTGGACCGGCTGGGTGGGGCTGTCAGTGCAGGGAGGTGAGGTAAGGCCTACTCTGAAAATAAGTCCTGGTGCCTCTTTTAGAGGGGGGAGAAAAAAAGGACCCGGTCTTATTTTCGGGGGAAACACGGTTACATTTGAGTTACAGAGAGCCAAAGCTTGCTAGTTTTCTCCTCTCTTTCCTCCAGTCTCTGTTTCTATGTGTGTGGCTGTTTTCACAAACCTGGGCAACTTAACCTATCCAAATAGCCCACTGAAGATGCGGCGTGGGGGTGGGTTCCTCACAAAACCACACTACAAAGAAGCTAAACAGGTTGGATTTGCTTGGGATAAGATGTCTCAAGGTGATCAGTCATTATTATTATTATTATTATTATTATTATTATTATTATTATTATTATTATTATTATTATTATTATTTAAATTTATATACCGCCCTATCTCCCTTACGGGGCTCAGGGCGGTGAACAGGCAATAATAAAAATCACAGTAAATATTACATAAAAGCCTGCTCTAAAATATAAAACCCCTAACAAAACCCAATCAAAACTATGCCAGGCCGGCCGCATGGAACAGATGAGTTTTCAGGGCTCGGCGGAAGAGGCGCAGGTCCGCAATTGTACGTAGGTCGGGGGGTAGGTCATTCCAGAGGGCAGGAGCTGCCACAGAGAAGGCTCTCCCCCTGGGGGTCGCCAGCCGGCATTGTTTGGCTGACGGTACCCTAAGGAGGCCCTCTCTGTGGGAGCGGACTGGTCGAAGGGAGGTGTTTGGTAGGAGGCGGTCTTGCAAATACCTAGGTCCATTGCCATGGAGCGCTTTAAAAGTTGTTACTAACACCTTGAAGCGCACCCGGAAGGCCACCGGCAGCCAGTGCAGCTCGCGCAGGAGAGGTGTTACATGGGAGCATCTAG